TCCATGTGGTTTTCAGTGGTTGAAACATGCTCATTTACATGTCATTTGTCACACTCGAGATTTTTAAACAAAAGATTATTCCATCAGCGCTAAGATGTTAGGAGATAAAACTGAACTGACTCTTAGATTCCTAAGATGAGGAGCTGACAGCCTAAATGTGAGTCTTTCTAAACTGTTGTCAAGTTAGAAAATCAGTTTTCACTATTAATGCATCAAATTTCCTCTTAAACTGTAACAGAGCTAATTCAAAACCTTGTCATGAGATTGTGGTTGTGACTTAAGACATCAGTGATTGACATGATAGATAATGGATCCAGATTAAGAACACTGTCAGTAATCTGCTCTAAATGTTTTTCTTAATTCTCTCTAGAGCTGATGTAGTGGACACAAAGCTTCATTCATTGACTGGATGGCCTCAATGTTTTTGCTTTAGGAAAAAGAGAGATAAGCTCAGAGTATTAAGTTGGATTTTCTAAATAAGGGTTCATGCGCTAGTTCCAAATCACTTGTTCACATTTTTTTTTAGTTCTTATGCAACAATAATATAAAATATAAATTCTTAAAATGTTTGTAGCTGCCTATAAAATCACAGCAATTTTATTTTCTGTATTGCACATCCTCCCATTACATCATCAGCTGAGCATTAAACTACCCATTTCTAACAAGTCTCATGTGTCCAAAAAATAAATAAATAAATAAAAATTAAAATATAGACCATTCAGTGTACCATATCAAGCTGAGCCTCCTTACCCTTTCTGCTTCCTCAGCTAATTCTTGGAACTGAGCTATTGAGCTCTAGCTCTCTGTAGGAGTGCCCCAAACAGCCCATCAGGGAATACAGGACCACCAAGCAGCTTGTGTTTTTGAGATATGTGGAGCCACATGTCATTCTGCAGTATTGCATGCCATGCCTTTGGACACACTAAGGGAGATGTAGAGAGAGTCAAGATGACTGCCATACCTTTGCTGATGTCTATAGCCTCGGGTAAAGAGCTTAGTGACTGTGTTGAAGACAGGTGAGAATAGCAGCAAAATGTTTTTTTATGCCAACTGGGTTGCAAAGTAGTGTATACACTGTAGTGAGGGAGGCAGACTTCATAATGACAGACGGTTGGGTGTTAGCTTTGTATTATTCAGGTTTTGCTCATTATTCTGGGTAAGCACAATGTGTTTATGAGCGGAAAATCCCCGAAGCACTATGCAAATCAGTTTTCAAATGAAGATATAAAACTGTATTACACATGCAACAGTTACACTTTTCAGGATGGTGGAAACTAATGGTAATTAGCAGGATAGCAAAGCATCTTAAGGGTCCTTTATCAGCATCTTTTCACTCCTGCTGGGAAAGGGATCCCTCTTTAGTTGCTTTTCTAGTAGTCCCCAACCCCCACCCAAATGATGGACTTTTACTAGGGAGTTTTCCCTCCCACCTAAATCGTGGACCAAGAGTGTACAGCTTAAGACAAATTTGTAATTTGCCACATTGGGGTTTAATTAAATTTGACTTGACCTGGTTAAAAAGATAACAGTGAAATTGTGTCAGGGAAATTTCTACTCCCTCTCATGCTGGGTGTGACAATCTACAGTACATGACTTTTTCCCCTAGCTTTTATTGCACATTTCATGCCATTTGGGTATTAATCACCACTGGGCATAGCATTTTATATTCTGTCTCCTACCTGTTCCATTGTAATCAGGTTCCCTTCCTATTTTGGTACTTCAAAAGATGACCCATTAGCCTCCTCCTCTGCCATCAGTAATCTAGCCTGTGTTCTCTGAGGGATATACACCAAAATGGGATGGATTTCAGAAAGATTAGGTGTTTTTGGTTTCAATCATCTATCAAGATGCAGGTAATTTTCTTCTTGTAAAGTAGCAATCAATCAGGGGCACTTCTGGTAAATTGAACTGGGTTAGATGGTGAGTGGGGACAAGAAAATGAATGAGGAAAATCTCTATTACAACATAATTTCATATGAATCAACGTAAGGCATTACATCCACATGCTATAGCAGGTGTAACACTGTCTTGGATAACAGGGTATATACTATAGGATTCAAAGCCAACTGATGATGGATCTAAGTGAAGGAGTTGTCTCTTATTTTCTATTAAATTTACAATACTTCTTCACTTCAATTGTGCTTAAATTAGAGCAGAATGTGTTACAGGATGAAAAAAAAAAAAAAAGCTGTACCATTTCGCAAGAGCAGACCAAATGTGAGCATCTAAGCTTATTGCACAAGAGAATTACTTTTGATTTGATCATCACCTTTCTGCACTACTTAATTAGTTCTGGTTGGATCTTGTCTCTCCAGAATATTTTCATCTCCTTTTTAATTCATTGATGAAAGTGTCAATATATTTCATCATAATTAATTTCAGGGCGAATGTAGGAGATCATCCAGTAACTGGAAGGTTTCGTGGTTTGAAAAGTGCTATATTGTCACGGACCCGGTGCCGGGGACTCGGGGTTCGTGAACAGTGTGGACCTTTATTGTTATTAGTGTATTGGATGTATGTTTGCTGCACTGTGCTCTTGTGTTCCATGCTGGTGTGTGTGTGTGTGTGTGTGAGGCTGGAGGATGAAGGACAGCCACCTGCAGGCCTGATGGGTGTGGCCCTGCCAGCTGCTGGTCACGCCTAGCTTACCACACACCTGCTTCTGATCAGGATCGTCGGGGGAGCTACTTAACAGAGCGATGGAGCTTCCTCCGGCGCAGGATCGTTGAGTTAGACTCCATGTCAGTGTTTGTAGTGCTGGTCAGTGTATGCCTGCTGGAGTTGGTGCCATAACGGCTGTGTCTGTGGTGTTTCCTCAGGAGGAATTGTGGCGACCAGGAGGCAGCACACGGAGAGTACACAGGGAACGGAGACAGAGCACGGAGCACGGGATAAAGGAGAAGACACGGAACGGGAGTTGGGATCGCACGGGGGGATTTATTGTTGTTCGGATTGTCACCACTGTAAATAAACACTGTTGCACTGTAGAGTCCTGCATTTTGGGTCCTCCTTTCCCCACATCCCCACGGTCTGCCAGCGAGACCGTGACAGAACGATCCTGCCAGATGGACCCAGCGGACTTTTCGGAGAGGTTCAGGAGGGAGGTGACAGACAAAGTACATCGTCTATGTGAACTGTGGCTGGAAGCGCACGCGGAGGGTTTACGTTGTGCTGTGGAGAAGCGGTTGCAGGAAACACTGACTTGTTTTCCCTGGGTGTTGGACAATCTTTTTCCGATTGTGGCGGATTTCCTGCTCAACACCCTTCACCTCCACTCTCCGATCCAGGCTGCCCCCCCACTCGGCCAGCCTGAGGTTCTTCAGCCTGATACGCCGGCCCCGACGTCTACCCGGAAACGGCGTTCGCGCCGCCGGCGTTCCTCACCGCAGCCGCCCTCCCGGACATCTCAAGAACCGGCTGTGGTGAGTAATAAGGACACTTTTTCATTTCTCACCCCATCTGCTTTTTTGTTTTCAGTGGATGGTGACACCGCTGACGCTGCTGCAAGCCGGCCAACAGTACAACTAGCGTGGCCTCATTCAGCAGTCTCCACGCCACTGGCGGCTTCACCATCTGCGGTTGTAGCGCCGTCATCATCCCATCCGCATGCAGTCACCCCTCGGCCATCTTCTTCACCGGCTCTACCTTCACCTTCCCCACCTGCGGACACCGCATCACCATCTTCGCCTCCGGATCATCCATCTGTGGCTGAAGCGCAGCCAGAGGTGCCCGCACGGCCAGCTGTTGAGCCCTGCGAGCCGGAGCAGGAGCCCGGAGAGCGGGAGGAGCTGCTCAGCGAAGCGGAGCAGGAGCTCAGGGAGCGGGAGGTGCCCGCACGGCCAGCCGTGCAGCCCTGCGAGCCGGAGCCCGGAGAGCGGGAGCAGCGGCTCGGCGAGCGGGAGCTCAGCATGCCCGAGCAGGGGCTTGGCGAGCGGGAGCTCAGCATGCTCGAGCAGGAGCTCAGCATGCTCGAGCAGGAGCTCAGCATGCTCGAGCAGGAGCTCAGCATGCTCGAGCAGGAGCTCAGCGTGCCGGAGGAGCTCAGCGTGCCGGAGGAGCTCAGCGTGCCGGAGGAGCACAGCGTGCCGGAGGAGCACAGCGTGCCGGAGGAGCTCAGCGGGCTAATGCCGGAGGAGCTCAGCGAGCCGGAGGAGCTCAGCGGGCCGGAGGAGCACTGCGAGCCGGAGGAGCACTGCGAGCCGGAGGAGCTCAGCGGGCTAATGCTGGAGGAGCTCAGCGAGCTATTGTCGGAGGAGCTCGGCGAGCCGGAGGAGCACTGTGAGCCGGAGGAGCTCAGCGGGCTAATGCCGGAGGAGCTCAGCGAGCCGGAGGAGCACTGTGAGCCGGAGGAGCTCAGCGGGCTAATGCTGGAGGAGCTCAGCGAGCTATTGCCGGAGGAGCTCGGCGAGCCGGAGGAGCACTGTGAGCCGGAGCAGCCCAGCGAGCTAATGCCGGAGGAGCACTGTGAGCCGTGGGAGCCCAGCGAGCTAATGCCGGAGGAGCACTGTGAGCTGGAGCAGCTCAGCGAGCCACCCACTGAGAAGCCCGCACCGCTGCTGGCGGACCTCAACGAGCCGGAGGGACCGGTGTTGCCAGCAGAGGAGCTCAGCGAGCCTGGTGAGCCCGCGCTGCCACCGGAGGAGCTCGGAGGTCCGGAGGGATCCGCTGAGCCAGAGCTGGAGGTCGGCGTGCCGGAGGGGCCGCCACGTCCTGCAGCCCGGCCGCCACGTCCTGCAGCCCGGCCGCCACGTCCTGCAGCCCGGCCGGTACATCGAGAATCATGGGTTGTGCTGAGGCGGGAGCAGCAACGCCGCCGCCACCGGACCCGTGGCCGCCCGCCGGAGCAGCAACGCCGCCGCCACCGGACCCGTGGCCGCCCGCCGGAGCAGTCACACTGCTGCCACCGGACCCGTGGCCGCCCGCCGGAGCTGCAACGCCGTTGCCACCGGATCCGTGGCAGGCCGCCTGAAGCGTTCTGCTTCTGTAACACAGTAAGGGGAATTGTTGAAAAGAATATATCAATGGGCCAATAGGCTCGACTATAGGAGCACAGGGGTGTGTTCAAATGAGACACAGAGACAAGAATGTAACTCAAAAGAACCAGCCAACTTTAGTGACATAAACCATAAGGTTGACAAGCACAGGTTAAAGACACTTTACAATGGTAGAAAGGAAACTTACAAAAATTAAAAGAAAAGTAAAACACAAACTACTAAAGCAATGACTTGGCCAAGTGTTATTTTTGGTTTTCAATGTTCGGGTTTCAATGCTCGGGTGCACCCTAGTAACCTGACTCCTTAACTCTTATAGAAACAGATTACACAAATCCAATGCACATTCAAATGAAAATTTCACACTCTTTTCACATGTGGAGAATGCTCTACACAACAGCTCATTATTTAAAGTCCCAAATAAAAAATGTCCAAGGGGTAAAGTCCAAAAAAATTCCCAGGGTGTGAAAGAAAATAGGGATGAGAGGATGTCAGTCAGTGGTCTTATGTATAACCAGCTGTGCGTGAAAGTGTGAGTGATACAGTCCTACCACACCGCAAGGTGCAGCAGATCATCAAGTGGAAAAGAAGCGAATCTCAGTCTCTCTAAGTCCAGGTGGGAAGGCTCGCCATCTATTTCACTGGAGGAATCCACCTCAGGAACAATTCAGCATACAAAAAAAACCTGACCTGTCAACAGACAGGATCAGAAGAGCAATTCAAATATTAATTATGCTGTTCTAGCTATAATTCACAACTTAGGATTTTGTTTAAATCACATTCAACATAAATTTGCAATAAAAATACTCAATTTTGCAAAAATAAAACATCTCTCTTACACAAACTATGCATTAAACCAAGTAAAGTCAGTGCATATGCATACAGCGGGGAAAATAAGTATTTGACACATCAGCATTTTTATCAGTAAGGGGATTTCCAAGTGGACCATTGACACAACATTTCCACCAGATGTTGCCATCAAGCCAAATATTGACGTCATACAAACAAATCAGAACATATAAGTATACAAGTTAAACCACAATAAATAAAGTGAAATGACACAGGGAATAAGTATTGAATACATGGAGATAACAAGGGGCAAAATGACATAGAAAGCCAGGAGATCACCTGAAATCTGTCAGTATTGATAGAGAAATCCTGTCCCCTATCAGTACCAATTGATATCAGCTGCTTTAGTCCTAATTGATGGCCTATAAAGGCTCCTCATTACCCAGAAGGCACACAGGAAAGACTTCATGATGGGTAAAAGCAAAGAACTCTCTCAAGATCTTCGTAATCTTATCGTTGAAAAGCATTTTGATGGGAATGGTTATAGGTGCATTTCCAGAATGCTGAATGTTCCTGTGAGCACTGTGGGGGCCATTATCCGGAAATGGAAAGTGCATCAGTTCACCATAAACCTGCCACGATCAGGTGCTCCACGCAAGATCCCTGTCCGAGGAGTCCAAAGAATAATCAGGAGGGTTCTCCAAGAGCCAAGAACCACTCGGACAGAACTTCAGGAAGACCTTGCATCAGCAGGTACTGTTGTTTCAAAGAAAACTATAAGCAATGCACTGAACCGCCATGGCATCCATGCACGCTCACCACGCAAGACTCCATTGCTGAACAAAAAGCATGTCAAGGCTCGGTTAAAATTTGCGCAACAGCATTTGGAGAAGCCTGTGGATTATTGGACGACTATAGTATGGTCAGATGAAAGCAAAATTGAACTTTTTGGCAGTCATTCTACACACCATGTTTGGAGAAGAAATGGCACTGCTCACCACCCCAAGAACACCATACCAACAGTCAAGTTTGGGGGTGGAAGCATCATGGTTTGGGGCTGCTTTTCAGCAAGGGGTACTGGCAGACTTCATATTATTGAAGGCAGGATGAATGGAGAGATGTACCGGGATATTCTGGATAAAAATCTGCTGCCATCTACCAGGAAGCTAAAAATGAAAAGAGGGTGGACATTTCAGCAAGACAATGATCCCAAACACAAGGCCAAGGAAACAATGAAGTGGTTTCAAAGAAAGAAAATCAAGTTGCTTGAATGGCCCAGTCAATCACCTGACCTAAATCCCATAGAAAATCTATGGAGAGAACTGAAGATTAAAGTTCATAAAAGAGGCCCAAGGAACCTTCAGGATTTAAAGACCGTTTGTGTGGAAGAATGGGCCAGAATCACTCCTGAGCAATGCAGACGACTGGTCTATCCATACAAGAGGCGTCTAGAAGCTGTAATCACCAACAAAGGCTTTTCTACAAAGTATTGAATAAAGTGTGTTCAATACTTATTCCCTGTGTCATTTCACTTTATTTATTATGGTTTAACTTGTATACTTATATGTTCTGATTTGATTGTATGACTTCAATATTTGGCTTGATGGCAACATCTGGTGGAAATGTTGTGTCAATAGTCCACTTGGAAATCCCCTTACTGATAAAAATGCTGATGTGTCAAATACTTATTTTCCCCGCTGTATATGTCGCATATGCGGCAATTATTAATCAAACAATTGAGATTAATTCAGTTTCTCAACAATAAAATGTGAAACAGACATGAACTAACTGAGACATACAACATGTGCTCACCGATCTCAGCGCATCACGGCCGAAGACAATGGCATAGTGTCTCTCGGTCGGAAAATGCAGGGCTCTAAATAACGTAATGTACAGGACATGTTGTTTTCTCTTTAATAACCGTAATACGACATGAAGGAAAAATAAACATAAGTTGCGCTTCAAGTGTTACCTTGCTTCTGGAAGCAGATTGAGATGAACTTCCAGGCAGTTGATAGCAACCAGAGCTAACAAAGGCTAACAGTTTACCTCCACGTGGTACTTTCTAAAGTCACCAGAAAAATGCAGCATTTGCCTGCTTACTCACTGTGGCTACTTTTAACATGAAAGGTAGCTGATAACCAGTGAACTTATGTGCAACACAGTTGGTTGCAACTTATATCTAATACTTTTTTTCCAGCTCAAAAGCTTCAGTCTCTCTTTTCTCCTGCCAGCACGCGACTACCTCCACACATAGCAGCAAACACAGAGCACGTAGGTGGGACATACAGCGGCAGACTGCTCTCCCATTGGTCAAAACATACTGGGACCTGTGCATTTCGATTGGTTGGGCAGGCTGTCCATCTCTCCTCATATCAGTCCTTAAAGTGGTACCCCCATTTTATGTGGGTTACACTTCCATCACGGGGTTAGAGGTAGGCCACCTGAACTTTTTTGCCACCACTGCCTAACCCGCAGCGGGTCCCGCTTGTTTTGCCGTCCTGCAGATCGGCCGCCAGAACTGTTTGCTGCCACTGGACTGGGGGATTGGACTGTTGACCTGTGTTTTTCTTTTGTTGCTTTGTGGTGGCTGTTTAGCGGAGTGGTTTTGGGGCCCTCCGTCCTGGACCCCCCGCCACCCGCCCTGGGTTGGTTGTTCTGTAGTTTTGTTTTGGGGTCGTCGGGAGTCGACCCTTTGAGGGGGGGTACTGTCACGGACCCGGTGCCGGGGACTCGGGGTTCGTGAACAGTGTGGACCTTTATTGTTATTAGTGTATTGGATGTATGTTTGCTGCACTGTGCTCTTGTGTTCCATGCTGGTGTGTGTGTGTGTGTGTGAGAGAGAGGCTGGAGGATAGCCACCTGCAGGCCTGATGGGTGTGGCCCTGCCAGCTGCTGGTCACGCCTAGCTTACCACACACCTGCTTCTGATCAGGATCGTCGGGGGAGCTACTTAACAGAGCGATGGAGCTTCCTCCGGCGCAGGATCGTTGAGTTAGACTCCATGTCAGTGTTTGTAGTGCTGGTCAGTGTATGCCTGCTGGAGTTGGTGCCATAACGGCTGTGTCTGTGTTTTTTCCTCAGGAGAGTGGAACACAGGACTGCAAGACACACGGGGTGTGTGAAGGCACAGGGGCAGAGAGCACGGGATACCAGCACTTGGGAGAAGACACGTCACGGGAGTCGAGGGAGCACTTTTGGAGATTCAATGTGTGGTGTACATTTACCTCACTGTAAATAAACCCACTGTTCATTTCATTAAGTCCAGCGTTTGGGTCCTTTCTCCAACATCCCCCACGGTCTGCCCCCCAAACCGTGACATATATAAGAATTAGTCAATTTGATCATTAACAGTTTGTCCCCATGCATTAGTTTTTTTTTTTTTTTTTTTTTTTTAGTTATAATCTTGTTTTTGTTAGAACAAAAGGTCATTGACAAAAACCATGATGAAAATTACTGGTCAACAAAATTAACACTACAGCAGGGAAGTCATATTATCTGTATGATGACCTATCTGACAACCTGTACAATGTCATTTACTGTAGGGACCAGTTCACAGCTTTGTCTTGTAATTCCCCATCATCCACCAATATAAGTGGCATGTGAGAAAGCATAAGTCTAGCAAGTGAAAAGTAACCTGGAGCAAAAACATACCCTAGATATAGTCTCCCTGTTGTCCTCCTCAGTGGTCACTTGCTAAATGCTTTAGCCATTATTGTTTTCCATTTCCACCAACATGACTCGATAGATGATTTTTCTTCTGAATTTTCTTTCATGTCAGCAGGATCCTTTAAAAACTTAATTACTTCATCTTTTTCATTTTACAAATATTTTGCAAGAACATCAGCTGCACAAATCTGAGTCTGTATCTGTTACACACAATCTTGTGAGGGCGCTCACTTCATAAATACCAACGTAATTTTTGTACTTTGTATGTGGGTACAATGTATGAAAAGCTATTTTAATTTGCCCACCAAATTTTTGGTCATATTTGAACAAAGATTTATTTTTGAAAAAATTAAAAGTCCTGAATTAATTACACATTTGTGGACATCCAGGTGTTTAAGCAGTGGCACCTGGTGATTTTCTGTGCTTGCATTTTATTTTGCATTCTACACTCTGCATGGATATTGTCACCCTTCTGCACTCATTAGCTGAAAAATGTTAAAAATTATTACTTTTATAGTTATCATCAAAATATTAGTTGACTGGGATGAGTGATGGAGACATTCTATAGAACATTTATTTTGTAAAAGCAATAAAGCATAATGAAAACACTTCACTACACTGCTCAGATATGTGAAAGCGGAACCTACAGCAGCTGGTCTAGCATGCTGGTCACCCTTATCAGCAATGACCATGCACAAACTGTTATGGCTGACTCAGCCAATAGTTACAAACAGAACCAAATTGAACAACATTATTTTTGAGCAAGGAATGAAGTAGCACCTGTGCGGACACGCAACACGTTCATGCTGATTTACAAGTCTGGGGGGGTGAGTTCACTGAGGGAAAGGAGACAGAGGCCAGTCCTGATCATTCAAATTCAAGAGAGTCCACAGAGGCCAGTCCTGATCATTCAAATTCAAGAGAGTCCACAGATTTTGACACAGAGATGAGAACTGATACAGTGTGCTCACTTGGATTACAGGTTCTCTGGGGGTGGGGCTTACTGGTTTGTTTCCTGGAAGATGATAGCTGTAGAGGAGACGCTAGAGGAATGGACAAGCTCAATAGAGACAGGTTGGACCAGTCTTCAGCCAGCAGGGAAGCACTAGGAATGAGGAAAAATGACAATGGCACAAGGATAATTAGAGTTACCAAGAGGAGCCTGTTTACCATGCTTAGAAGTCAGTCTATCCAGAGGAGACTGGAAACAGAGTGTGAAGGTGATTGGGAGTGGGAAAGTAGAAAACACACCACATCTCCTCCATACTTGCTTCATGCCCTGGAGGATGGGGCTGTGGCTCCCCACACCCTCTAGCAGATCATTACATGAAGGAACCTTTTAAATACAAGCGCGCTCATGCTCACAGGTGTACACACGAGGACTCACACACACAAACTACACCCTTTTTGGCTCCTACCTCAAAGCACACTGTGTGCTGTCGATCTTACGTGTTGCACAATAATGTTTAATATTTAGTATTTACTGTTATATTCCCATATATCATCGTGATGTTGTTTATTATGTTGCTCTTCTTTTCCCCTTCTGCTTGTTTTCTCTTTTTTCTTTCTCAACAGGTGATCCAGGTTATTGATATATGCATTTTTTGTCTGCTTTTTGCTCCTTATCCCGGTCCCTCTTCCCTGCTGTTTTTCTTTCCCTCTTTCTTTCTCCCCTTTTCCCCCAGTCAAGTCTGTCCCATATTTAGCAAGGGAAAATAAAATAAAATAAACAATAAAAGGTGAATCAAATAGACCATTTCAGCAAGGCTGGGATGGTCCATTTGGTAAAGTAAATCCGTTGGGCATCTTTCTTCGCCTTTAGACAATAATTCTGATGGCAAAAGAGCCAAACGGGACAGGCAAAAAAAAGAAAAAAAGAAAACACCACCCCTAAGGGGGCAACAGGTAGAGAGAGAAGCTCACTGAACAGAAGAGGGAACATTTTCACTTTGGTTTTAACTATGTTCATTTTTAGATTTCAGTGGGTAAGTAGTTCCTTGTCTTGCTTGCCCTGAAGGAATGCTACTACATTTATGAGTACTGCAGTTCATTTAACTTATATTGTTTACATGTAAACTATAACTACAATATCATTAGCTATTAATTTAAACATACATCATCTGTGGCAGAAAACGCTGTATTCTTATGATGTGCAATTAAGACTAGCTATACTATTATTTAGCTAATGAAAAAAAAATCTGTAACTTATAAAGTTGTAAATGTTGTTTCCTTAAATAAAGGAAAAGAAGAAAGTAAAGTCATTTTTGTGATTATTTCTAGAGTAGCACAGTCTCTGATAAGTGTTTGCATGCAAAAAAAATACATTTGCACACATCATTAGCATCAGATGCTCAAGCTCCCCTTAGACAAAATGATCCTGCCAGTAAGCCCTGACCAGTCAGACAAATGCAGCAACACACCATCTCAGGATATTTCCTGGCAACCATGAAATGTTTGGTCAGACATCAATCTTTCTTTTTCCTGCAGAAATAGAGGTCGTGGCTTGTGACGTAAGAAACTGCCTGTCTGTGTTCCTAAGATGGAAGTCTAGCCCGATTTCAAGGTAGACTGCCCTGCTAAATTTAGGTGCTGTAATTCATTCATCACCCAGTTAGTGAATGCACCAGATATGCCCATTCTTCTTCCTAGGTGTTAAATCTGTCCTTCAGGGGCTTTGCCCATGACTTTGAAACAGTCTGCTGAACAAGATTTCCTCAACAAATTTGTCTGCCATTGTGTGCCTGTATTGTACTCCATAAAGGTTATCACAGTTGATCTGGCAAAAAGCTCACAATTAGCATGAAACAGACAACAGCATTTCATTTTCTTTTTTACAATCCAAATTTGTAAAAAACTGTTGTAAATCAGCACTGGGATTCAGGAAAAGCTAGGCTAAAGATATTTACGTCGGTGGGTGCCACCCCACACAGACGGCAGTGAGAAATGTGGTCCATTAATATATACATGGGTCAAAAATTAAGGCAGTTGGAGACCATTTGAGCAGGAATCACTGCAACTGAACTATCACTAAAATTCTCCGTACAGTGCTTTGTGCATTCATTAGGCCCTGGTGAAGAGCAGAGATCCTCAGACAAAGAAATTTTCTTCCGTTTTGTGCTCAGCTTGGTCACTCAAGAGTTTTACTTTTTAAACAAAATGAATGTGCGACTCTCATAGACAACATTTTTGCAAATGACATTGAAAATAAGACTGTAAGTGGACTCCTGATTAACGACATAAGTGACCATCTTCCAATTTTTACAATCTATGATAGGAATTACAAGATCAATAAAATGGACAGTAAAAAAGAGTACAGACGAGTAAGAACAGAAGAAAGAATGAATGCATTTAAAAAAGATTTATTGAAGGAAAACTGGGGTGAAGTATATCAGGAACAGGACGTTAATAGGGCTTATAATAAATTCCTTAGAATATTTACATTACTGTACAATACCAACTGTCCAATAAAGCAATATAGTAGGAAACAGAAATATATGGACTGTCCATGGATAACAAAAGGTCTGCAAAATGCATGTATAAAGAAAAATGCTCTATACAGAGAGTTCTTAAGAACGAGAACTAAAGATGCTGAAATCAGATACAAAAGATATAAAAATAGGTTAACTAATATACTTAGATTTAGTAAAAAGGAATACTATAAGAAGCAATTAGATATAAATAGAAATAATAATAATAAAAGATTATGGGAAATCCTGAACAGTG